TTTTTTTTTTTTTTTTTTTTTTTGTGAGGATTATAGAAAATTTAATATAAATATTGTTGGGGGAAGAAAATTGAATATTGAGGCAGTGGAAGGAGACAAATGTGTCCCGAATACATAAATGTTTTTTTTGGTTTGGTTTGGTTTGGTTTGGTGAGGGTAGAGAATACATAATTATTTATTAAATTAGGACCCCAAGCCTCCTGAATTCCATCACTCCCCTCTGCAAACTGTTTCATCCATCACTATTCACCCCTAATCTTAATGCAATGGTCCCCTGTTTATCCTTTTTTATTTACATACACTAATGTAATACCATATTCTCAGACATTGTGAAAAACAAGTGAAGAGAGTAACATACTAATCATCAATCATTACACAAATATTTGTGTTTAAATGGGTGGAGGGTAGAATGGGCATATTTTTTTTTTATTATGATCTTAATATTTATGAAGAATTTATTATGAATGTATTGAATATTTTACGTGTAGATGATGATAGAAATGAATGATGATAGAAACAAGGAGAAGATGATATGGAAAGAAGACGAGGGGTCTGTCTCCTCTGCCTCCTCCTTCACATCGGACACTGGTGGTTCAGCTTGTCTTGTGTGGTCCGAAACCCCAAGCAATCGGAGAGAAAGCGATGAATCCATGAATTCGGCGCAACCATCGAAGCCATACCCATCCACCAATTGCTTCACACTTAACTCCACATGTTTCCTATGCTCCAACTTTATGAAAAATATAATCTTTTAATTTAAATAAGGAGTAGGGTCGAAAAGATATCATAAAATAATTGCTAAAAAGGAAAACGATGGTGTAGTTTTAGATGATTGATATATGTCGTTATTTAAAAAAGAAAGAAAAAAAGTGGGAGACAAGGATAGTTACTCCAAGTTTGTGTCGAAAATGAAAAGGAAGGGAAATGGAAATGGAAAGCTTGAAATTGAAAGTGGATGGGAAACATAGTCCGACATGTCGGCAACATGGGTGCAGATTAAATAAATTCTGGATGGAAATTCCAAAGAAAAAGGATATTAAAGGAGACTCTTTAATAAATAAGTATATATATTTAGAAAAGAAAAAAAAAAAAAAAATCACCTGAAAAGGCACAAGTGAAGCATCGAACATGGGCTCCGTGCAGTTGAATGGAAGTTTCGCCATCTTTCTTTTAATTTGTTCATATTTACAGATCACCCAACAACATTCAGATCCAGCATTTAATTAACACCCTCTCCAATTTACCTTGAAATTTTAACCCCCCAGGTATCGCTGAAATCCCATTTTTCACCATTTACCTTTCCAAGAGATTTCAGCACTGTGAATACTATGGTAATTATTATGTTGATTTGACGTCACCGAATCTTTTATTTTCCATTATGGCTAAACCTTCAATTTTTAAAACCCACTATTTAATACCTACTCCAATAAATAAAATAAATAAATAAATAAATAAATACACCAACTGTTGTCGTGGTGTGTACAGTAGTTGGATTTTATTACACTCATTCAACTTTAGTTCATTTTAGAAATATATATATTTCTTAAATTTTAAGTAACCGCCCAGACCGACCACTAGTAGATATTATCATTTTTGGACTTTCCTTTCTCAGATCCAAAAAATAGTGTCAGAGTCAAACACCGGACGATGTGCCAGCCTTCTTGCTGTTCCCCGAAGAGAGTAGACACAAGACGGTGTGTCAGTAAGGACGCTAGGCCATAAAAGGAGGTGGATTGTAATGTCCCACATTAGTTGGAGAGGATAATAAACCATCATTTATAAGGATGTGGAAACCTTTACGTAGCAGACGCGTTTTAAAACTTCGAAGGGAAGTCCAAAATGCAAAGGCCAAAGAAGACAATATCTACTAGCTGTGGATTTGGGTCGTTACATCTACAATTTAATTGGGTTTTGGCTTCTGCTTCCAAATTTCTATTCATTATTTACAAAATATCGGGATGATATATATCTATATATATAAATATTAAAATTGTTTGTTTTTCTCTCTCCCTCAATCTTCCCTCCACCATTCATGGATGTCGATCGTGCTTCGTCACCGTCCCTATCTATTGTCACTATCGTCTATTGTGTTCTTTTCCATTTGTCTTATTTATGAATTTTTATTTTGTTGAATTTTAAGCATGACGTAGAACAAACTATACCATAGAGTCTTTTTAAGGTTTATGAAATCTTTAAACAAAGTACGTGACTCTAATAACATGTTAGGAACAACGAATCTCGACTTTGAGCCTAAGTTTTAATAACGTTGTTTTTGGTTTCCAATAATGTTTTGTATTAATAGAAATGTAATTCTTACGTATAAACCAATGTGAGATTCTCCCAACAATTTTCAACAAGTAACATGTATCGTCCACGCTCTTTGACTCTTATTGGTTTGGGTTGACAAGACTTCTTAATGGGTTTGTCTTAGTTCGAGGGCGGTTAGACTAAGTACCCTTCGTTTAGTTAAATTCGTTTGTAAAAAGGAAATCTATGAAAAGGGCAAGAAAGGAATTAGCAACTTTCAAATTTATTGGTATTAAATGGAAAAAAGAATTTGAAAACAAAAGGTGACAAGATTGAAGATTGTGGGAAGGAAGGAGTATGCAGAACACAGTAAATATGGTTCTTCACCACATTCAAAATATACTGTTACACCATCTCCCTCTTCCATCCACTTCAATAAATAACCCCATTTTTTTTTATATTTTTTTTTACCACTCTTCCAATTAATCTCACCATTTAAAGAAGCCACGTGGGGGGTAAATATTATGTACCCCACTGGTTTTATTTGGGCTCAGGCCCATCTAAACTGAACATGGGCTCGGGCCTCCGAATTCACTATTGGGCTCTCGACGCTTGGGCCTCTCCAACCATAATCCATGTTGCTGCTTTCTTGTTCTTTTTAAATAATTTAATAATTTAATAATTTAATTCTTAAAATGGAAAAAAAAAAAAAAACAAAAAACAAAAAATCAGAGATTTTAGTCGATAATTCGGGAAATTTATTAAAAGTGAATATATGAATTGGAACAAAACCAAACCAAAAGGTGTATATTTATTTCAGGAAGGTTTTGAGTTTGTTGTTGTTGAGGAGGAGGAGGAGGAGGAGGTATGCTTGCTGCTCTTTTTTTTCTTTGGTTTCTTTGGAAGTTGTGGCTGCCGAAGCTCCAACGATATGTCCGACGCCGATTGATAGCCTATTGAAACATCAAAATCTGCCCATCCACACACAAATCTACGTTAAATTTGGTCACCATTGTTACACGAATGCGCGACTCTCCACAATTGTATCATATTTCTTGAGTGAGTTAGTTAGTTACAGACCTTGGGAAGGAGTGGACCAATGAGACACGGCAGTTACAGCGGTTGCACTCGAATCTCTTCCTTCACTAACCTCGCCGCCTTTGAATTCCTTGATCTGCGTTATTGGGATCAACATAATTCTTGGGAACAGAAAATTAATTTATTTATTTTTATTGAAGAGGGAGCAGAGCATATACCCAGCTAGGGGCAGAACCGGATGGCGATGAATTATCCAACCCGATGTGAGATACATGCTTCACATCGGTCGGATAACCAATTTCCATCTCGCGATCTTTCATTGCTGCAATCGTATAAACTTTTGAGTTTAGTGATAGTTTAATAGCAGGAAAATTAAAAGAAGAAAAGAAAAAGTTACCGAAAATTTGGGAGACGTATTTGAAACTTTTGTAGATTCCTTTGAGCTTAGAAGACATGGTTGAGAGAGGAAGTGTGATGGAGGTAATTGTGATGGCATTTGTTTGTTAGAAAAGGAATGGGAGAATTAAGGTGGAAGAGAGGAAGGAGGGAAACATGGGTTTCATTTTTAGGATGCAACAAAACCCAGATCATTGAACTGCAAAAGATTTTGAGTATGAGCAAAGTTGAAATCAAGAGGAGAAATGAATGATATAATAATGAGTGCAGGGTGGCATTTGCATTATAATACCTTTAAAGCTTACGTCTTGCCCTACCACATGGATCTGAATTAGTTGTAAGTAAACAAATTGTTATGATCTTTATGTTTGATTCCTGAACGTGTTTTAATTCCATATTTCGTGCATACCATATGGATAACAATGAAATACTGGAAACTCGGAGTTATTGAGCTTGGGATTTTGTTGGGTGATTGGAAGCACGTCGCTGCAATAATACTAATAAATAAATAAATTATGAATGAGAATGATGGTACCCACTAAAGAACAATCGCCATTCGGTCCTGATATGGGAAGCATGATTTGTGATATTAAAACTATATATTAAAAGTTTAGTGATAGCTTCATTTGTATTACCGTACGTTTTATTGAATTTCTGTCTTTTAATCTAAGAGTCGCAATCATATGAGTAGAAAAGAAGTCATAGTTAAACTTCTAAAACTCTAAAAAAAATGAAACCGAGACTAAAGAATGGGAATGTAGACAAAGTTTTTCCGTTTGACGCAAACTGTGTTAGGGTGAACCTAGCAAGATCCTATTGATACGTGGGTATTGAACATAACATAAACCAAACAATCCAAAGTAGATTCAATAAAATCAAAGCAATGGACCGGTAAGAATTCAAAAATATGTGAATATTGTTGTTGAGGATTATTGAGAGGAATAGTCTCACGTTGGCTAATTAAAAAGAAAATCTCTTCGTCAGAATGAAACCTTTTGGAGAAACCAAAAATAAGAACTTAAGCTCAAAGTAGACAATATCATACTGTTATAGAGGTTCGTGATTCTAACAAAACATAGATATAATAATCAAGGATCTAAGGCAGATTGGCGAACAGAATTATAGTAATGGGAAATTCAGAATTATAGTAATGGGAAATTCAGTTTCGTGCTGGACAGCAAAAAGAACTCACCAGGGCCACATTGCCACACCTATATATATATATATATATATATATATATATATATATATATATATAATTCATGAACACCAAAATAATAGGAATGCTATTAGGATAGAATGAGCAAATATCATAAGGGTATCAAGGGTACCTTAATAATTAGCTAGGAAATTTATTATTGGTGATTTGCTGTAAATAGAGTGGGAGTGAAAGGATGAAGATATGATATCAAAACCAAGCAGAGATGGAAGGAACCCAGAACATGAACAGAGATGTCCAAAAGGAACAGGTAAATCTAAATCACAGATATAAAATCCATTTTGTCCAATCAATACTTCTCCCAAATGATGGGAAAACATCAGTCTTTTCGAACAAAATCTTCTGAGTTTAAGCTCTCGTGAGGTTCTAGTAATCAAACATGGTTGAGTTCACCTGAGACAGTTTCCAGTTCTGGTAAGACAGTAGTTTCAGCAAGACGAACTAATACAAGGAACGCGACTAATCAACTGATGATAAATACAAAAATCGTTGTGTTAATCAAAAGCTATAGATCAACACATGGGGTAGTAACATCTTCCAAATAGAAAACATGAGGAAATATCAAGAACCAATATGGCTTATATTGTGATGTCCCATATTGGTTGGGAAGGAGAACAAACCACCATTTATAAGGGTGTGGAAACCTTCCCCTAACAAACGCATTTTAAAGCCTTGAGGGGAAGCCCGAAAGGGAAAGCCCAAAAAGAACAATATCTGCTAGTGGTGGATCTGGGGTGTTACACATATCCCGCACACTCTCTTTGCAAGTGTACCCCCCCCCCCCCCC